CAGCTGTCTGGCAACAAACATATCCTCGTGTTCGTGGACAAAATTTCTCGCTGCTGCGGTTCCATCAAAGGCTGCTATTTATGTCACGAAAGTATTTCATGATGTAATTAATTGCCCCCACGGCTGTCCACAATATTCAAGTTCGGATAACGGTACTGAGTTTGTAAATCAGATGTTAGCCAGTCTCGCACAGCAGTTGAATGTGATGCAGATGAATGTTTTGCCGCTTCGTCCACAGGATAATGGCTTACAGAACATTTAAAGAGATTTATCCTCACAATTCTGTGTCAACTGGTGGACGACAGCAAAGACGATTTGGAGCTCTTCCCACCATTTCTTCTCACGGGGCACGAAAAGTGGCCCCATCTCCAGGATTATTTGGTTTCTCGGCAGCAACGGACGTTTCTGTAAGCAAAGGCGCTCCCTGACCAGGTCTATATCACTTATTTTACTGTATTGTCTTATATAAACTCTCTTACAACTGGCCATTGTCATACAGCATGACTTTTGCATTCCATTCTTGTCTTGCGTGAATGATATCTGGCTCTCCCTTCTAGGATGCTCTCGTCTATAATCCTTGTAGCACTCCTCGTGAAAGAAGGCTCTCTCTCTCTGCAACATAATGTGAAAGATGCACCTGGGGCTAAGACTGAGGTCAAGCCATGTCAAGTCAAGCAACACTTTGTAACCCATGCTATACCGCAGGGACCAGTTACTTTTTCTTCGTGATAATCTTACTCTCAATTCTTCTCTTGATGTCCACGACATTCGTCTATTGAACTGTATCTTATCCTCAACGATTGCAAAGTCGAATTTCTTCGTAGGGCCATCAAATCTGCAGGTAGGGCTTGGCGAGGATTATTCAGTTTCGTAGACAGCATTGAGCATGGATTTTTCGGAGTTGTGAATGACGACTCTTACATGCGAACTCAGGAAGTATAGAGAAAGCTTACTGGCTGTAGTTCATAGTTCCAGGTCGTCTGCTCGTGCTCTAAACACGCTTGAGCACAACGTTCAGGATATAGTTTCAGCTTTCTACAATGAGGCAAAGTCGTTCAAGCTTGTAGGTACTGTGAACGAAATATCTTACTTCTTTAACCATAACTATTTTTCTTACCAGAACACGGTTAACAGAATTACACAGAGAATGAATAACATTGCAACAGCGCTCATTCGTGTGGCACTTGATTTCACCAGCCGATATGATTGCGATACTTCATAATGTATCTTCTTTCTCTGTCAAGACTCTCTTCCCTTTCAAACAACGCAATCGGTTCTACGTTTGCCTGAGGTCTTTCCTCACTGCCTCTGGGCTGTCTATTATTCCAGTGCATCCTTCTACAACCTTAAGGCTTACCGCGTACACCTCTTCCTACACAAAACAAACAATGCATATTACATGGTTCATGTACCTCATACATTTATTCTTAGGTAACTGGAAGGACGTGCTCTATCCTTCCCTTCCTCCGACTTCTTATACACCTGTTCGAAGCCTACCAATGACACGTTCCGAGTGTTTTTCCTCACCATTATTTTGATCTCTTCAAGCTTCATCTTGTGTTCGTGCTCATGTTTAGAAGGGGCTGATTCACACCAGAGGAATAAGCGTTGCATTGTTACATTACTCATTGGCGACACGTTCCATCGATACTAGAACGGAGATTGTAACGTATTTTTTTTTTTATAAATGTGTTATTTGAGCATAGCGGTAGTATCTTCCTCATATCATAGTGCACAGGGATGCCAGATATAACCCGTGCTTGAGTAAACCGCCTAATAGATATACACTCCTACATACGATAATAGGTAAAAATAAAACTGAAATTATTCGTTCGATCGGCACCTTTTATTAACCCATTCGCGCCGGGTAAAAATGAACAAAAAATAGGGGAAATGCTGTGTTCATTTTTTATATTTTTTAATGAAATTTCTCTACATTAGATGGCTCTGCTTTACCGGATATCACTTGGCGGGAAAATGTATTTTTACAAGGGCTATGAATAACGATGGTTATTTTTATTATAAACATTATAATTACTCTAATGTTATAAACATTAGTAACAGGAAAATAAGATAACCAAAATAATTTCGTAAATTAAAGAAAAGGGTAAACAGACGAGACAGGCAGTACAAGTGCAAGTGGAGCCCTCTATGTTTATAAACAATCAAACAAGTAAACTCAAAGTGGGCCCGTCACGTATACGTGACGCCCGGCGCGAATGGGTTAAGGTAATTTTCCTCATTGGTTATTACCTCTCTAACAGGAGGTAATACTGGTATTTAAGGTAATTTTCCTCATTGGTTATTACCTCTCTAACAGGAGGTAATACTGGTATTCAAACAAGACAGGTCAATCTGATTACTTTCAAAACAAAATTTGAACATATCTATTGCATTATTAATAACTTTATGCACTTAAATGTCATGCATTTGTTGTAGTTTTCTTATTACTGCAGTATCTTCTGCTGTGTGTTTCTCTTGTTTTCTTTCCAGCACTTAC